GCAAAAGGCCAAAAGCTCCGAGGCCGCTTCTGAGTTGTCGAGACCCTGCTTTTCACAAGCGATGGCGAGATTGGGGGTGGCTCAAAATTAAACAGGAGGGGCAAACCGCAGGTTTTGGTCCATGTTTCCACTTACCAGGGTTCCATTTTGGAATTCCGGTTTTTGGAGCCACAGCCATATAAGAAGCAACCCACGGGTCCCACTCCATTGATCCCTTTCGAAGGGAAAGTCACCAGCCCGACTCGCGCATGGCAGCTTTTGGAAATCGGGGATCGGTTCATCGAGCCCTGGGGCGCGGGGAAAACAGAGGCGCGCTCCCACCAATTGACATGGAATCTGACAGGGCAGGTGTCCTTTGTTGGGAAAATAGCCAGGGCCCTGGTTGATTGAACCACCAGGTAAACCAGGAATCGCCCTCTATTTTTAGACCCAATCAACCAAGAAGGACACCTATGCTTGGGACATATCATGCTTGGGACATAAAACGTTCGGGTCTGTCGTTCCTTTGGAGGTACCCCTTTTCCGGTGGTTTTCAAGGGAAGCAAAGCAACTGGAAAACCACGATCTGTTTTGGGGGGTCCCCTACAAGTCCCGCAAAAAAAACAACAACAACGGGCCTTTAGAGTATCTTTCCACAAGTTGTCGTCCAAGCTGCTGACAAGGCGCTGCCCTTCGCAAAGTGTAGGTTGTTTTGTGATGTTTGAATTTTGGTACTACCCAAAGGCTCCCGATTGATTTAGGGCCTTCAAACAACCTGGTTTTGAGACCCCAAACCACCTCCGGGGTGTCCAATGGAGGGGTCGGGTCTTGCATTGAAAGCCCAGGAACCTCTGGGTAGTTAACACCTGCTGTGGGTGGACGAAATCCATTTCGCACCACTCGGGATGAACAAACACCTATCTATATTGGGATAAGCCACCTACCAACTGGTAGTTGAGTTCGTCCATCCGCGGTATTAAGGGTCAGAGGATGTCAGAGGCGATCCTTCAACTTCGGCCATGGGCCCGTCCTCGCGTGCTGAAGCTAAGAATCGGCTACCAATCACCGTATCAATTCTTCGCGGCTTTCAGACGGCGAGGAACCCATGCGCCCCCCCCGCCCCCCATTGAACGGCAGGCTCCCTACATGCCTAGTTCTTGAAGAGAAAGTGATCCCGGTTGAGATGGGCCCAAATCCCTCTCTGGTTGCTCAGGGACCGGAACAAATACCAAATTCATCCCCTTTTAGTTTCCTTTTGGAATCAAACTGCTTGGGCTATTTAGCACCCTGCTGATCCGGTTCACTGGTTCTTATTCAAACAGTGAAACCGGAGAGGCCTGAGAGACCTGACATGGAAAGCTGGGTTTCACTTAAACCCAAGCATCACCTCTGGTCAACCTCACTTGGATAAAAGCAACGCACATGGCTGCCAAATTTAAGGCTTCGCCCAAAATACACTTGCCATCTGCCTTTTGTTGGGGCCCTATCGTTTCACGCCAACTTTGGGCAACATCCACCGCAGTTGCGCTTTGGAAACATCCCCTAAATGGGCGTGGGTTTCAAACAATCCCCAGGGTACCAATTACAAAAGCTCTATATATATATATATATATCCCTGCTTGCAGCAAAAGGCCCTCTAACCTGATAGAAAACATGTAGTTCTCCCCCGAAATAATACGCAGGGTTGTGGAACTACCCACTTCTGAAATTTCAGCAGAAGGCAATCCACTTGAGGGTGGGGTAGCTGCGGTTCCCAAGTAGTTCTGCAAAGGCTTCCCACACTGAAAACAACCATCCACATTACTACTTTCATGTTGACCCCGGATTCATACACCCCTGCTTGTTAATAGGGGGCTATACCTCCAATAGAATCCCCACAAAACCCGGGACACCCCCGTCCCCCTATCAATAAACTGGGGTGTACAACATGAACACTTCAGGGATTTCTCTTGGTATCCCAGAAATGCGGCTACCACCCAACTTCCCACCACCATACGTGCCTCTGGTAGCCTCTCCACCTGCGGCTGCGTCTCCACCTGTGGCCGCGTCTCCACCTGCGGCTGCGCAGGCATGTCTTCTTCCGCGCTCGAATCCTTGGCTGAACGGTCTGAGCTGTGACTCGGAAAAACCGAGCACTGCATCCTCTTCCAATGGAAGCCAACAGAAGGGTTTTAGAAGACTCCAGGTTTCTTGAGGCCCTCTGCAAACAAACAAACCATGTTTGCAGACAGGATTCATCCCTAAATAGATCTCCCCCAGCTTCCTCGTCCGGCTGGCTGATGAATCCCATCATTGCTCACAGCGAGTGCTTCGTCGCTGCTGCCATGGCCCCCGGACGGCAGAGAGACTCTCCAGGTGCTGCGGGAGCCAAGCATTAAATTTCATGGTCTGGCTTGTACAGGCCGAAGGACGCGACCTGAAGAATAGGGTTCATTTGGCGCTTAAAATAGGGGGTGTCTTTTTTGTGGCACTTTTATTTTTGTTGGGGGGAGTCCCTAAAAAAAGACAGACCCACAGATAGACGGATACCCTTGATGGGTCCAAAAGTTTTGGCTTTTTGGGTTGACGGGGCAACAAGACAACCCACGCAATGTTTGGTGCAGGAACCTCCCCGAGGTCCATCCCCCGATTGTCGGAATCTGCGGATCGGGCGGGATGGTGGATGCTGCCGAGCAAGGGCTTTTCTCCACCTGGCGCAGCTTGGGCGACTTTTGAGACTCGGAATCCTTGAAACAGGCTGGCTCAATATGGTGTGTTTTGGTGGCTTCTGTTTGAACAAGACAATTAAAGTTTCTCCGGCTCGGAATCCGTGAAATAGGTTGGTTTAAGGTTGAAGCGGAAGCCAACAACAAATCCATGTATGTTTTCGAGTCCCCTAATTGCGACACCCAAATGGAAAAGTGTCAAAAACCCTTGAAATATTGTCGTGCGGACTCATCCTGATCGCTTTTCCAACTATCCTCAAAGGGTTCTGTTTCAATTCGCCAAACGGCAACAAAAGCAAGAAGCGAACAAACAAATAACCCCGCGCAGTAGGGATTCTGGAAGGCCTTGGTTGAATTTTTTATGGGTCCACAGCTGTATCAAAAAGATCCAAAGCAAGCCGGTGCCATGCATACTTGCTTGTGTTAGGTAGGGGCCCGCCTCTTTCAGTCTTCCCCAATACTAAAACACACGCCTGAACATCAACTGGGCACCTTGTTTATATTTTTAGATTATTCTTTGTTGACCGAAATCCATATGCTCTTTCATCAAAATGAAAGTTGAGAAGCCACCCAGAGTACGGGAAACGGCAACAAGTAATCTGCACGGTAAGTATTCCTCCAGGAAAAGCAGCACCATTTGTGCACTGAGTTGGTTGAAAGGGAACCTGCGAACAAAAATACTAGGTGAGTAGGGGCACCTACAAAATCGTCCCCCCGGCAAAAGTGGCTCCAGGTTGTTTGTTGGCAAACACACCAAATCAGACCAGTGAAGCCACAAGGCTGTTTAGCAAGTTTCTCCCATTGGTCCGTTGAGAACATGTTTTCTGAACCTGTTGGACCACCTATGCCGCTTCCACTCAAACAGGTTGGTCATATTGTATCTGGTTGCCTAGGAAAAAATGCCAATCAAGCAATGCGCCAGCAGGTGCCACTTCCTTTTACATCCACGACCGGAATGCTGCATTGTAGGCTGCATGGGGCCAGTTCACCATTGCCGTCTTTGATATCCTTCCCTGCTTGCCGCGCAGAAAAATAGAAGCATTCACGCTCGTTATCAAAAAAAACTCTCCTTTGAGTGTGTGTGTGTGTGTTGTTTGGCTTCCTGGAGGTAAAGTCAGGGGGTGCATGTGATCTCGTGCTACCACTCACTTCCTGAGTGGATTGCCCAACAACAGAAGCCAAACTTTGAGCTTGCCACTGAATTGGTCTTTCCAAAAAACAAAAGAACGAGAAAGTACGATAAATCAGGTGTTTCTCAAACTATTTGTCCTCTATGGCCAGTTTTTTTTCGTTATTAAACAAAAAAAAAAAAAACTGAGACCAGTGCCACCCAACTCCGATTGAGCCCCCTGCGAGCAAGTAGCGCTCGAATCCTACAGCTCGCGGGCCTGAACCTGGGCACCGAAAACTTCGGGGCCCTGTGCGGGGTCGATCTTTGGACTTCGAAGCCACCAAAAGAGGAAACGGAAACACGGCGCCGCGGGAAAAAAAAAAACATATTTTTTTGCACCGCTAAAAGTCCGCGAGGTCTCACCAAACAGGAAAACAACGTTTGAAGCAAAGAACCGGACCCGCAAGAGGAGCCACAGGGCGAGGCTTGCTTCACCCCGTGCTTCAGCTCGCAGAACTCGAACTCAGAAGGCATGTGAGATGTTCAAGCGTCTTCTCGGCCTCAACCTAAGAGAGCCCATGAACCTGAGAAATCAGCCCATGAACCTGAGAAATGAACCTGAGAAATCAGCCCATGAACCTGAGAAATGGGCTTGTACACGCAACAAATGGGGGGTGACCGTAAGAATGTGGCTATTGGGGGCTTGACCAAACGGGGAATTGCCAAAAAAAGACAAGGCAGGCGAGGTTTGTGTGATCGACTAGACATTCTCAAAGTTGTGTTCGATACATTTGAAACATTTACAATATGTCCAAAACCTGAAGTAAGGAATCCCCTAAGTAAAGGACCTTTTACATGGTGAGCTCGTTTTAACCTCAGGTGAGCTCTTCAAGAGCTTTGCGCATCGACGTCTTCCTAGTGCTTCCAATGCTCTTGGCACTTCGGACAGGCAGGTGGCGGCTTTGCTGCTATCACTTGGAGCAAAAACCCTACTCTTCCACGACCCACATATACTCCTTTCTACACGGGGCTTAGGCCTTCTTGAAATATGTAAAGTGTAGGCAAATGCAAAGCATAGCTGTTCTTGATGTTTATGCCGTTATTGTGTTTGGTTATGTGTGTTTCCTTATGAATGAATTTGTTAAACATGTTATTTAGACATTCGCTATGTATGCTGTGTGTCATTGTGTACTTCCTGTTATTTACATATTGACGTCGTATATGGGTTATGTTTTACTCATTACTTCAGTGATACATTTGCCGTGTTTATGTATTGAGCTACTTATTTACTCATTTACAAAGGTTGTATACATACATATTGATTGATGTGTGTATGTGTGGTGTGCCCTTATTGCGTTGTTTCTTTATGTATTTGTGCGTCAGATATGTATGTCTTTATTCAACGATTTATGTGTGTTCTGTATTGTTGAATTTTGAGATGTCGTTCTGAAATCTTTCTGAATTGATGAATTTATGTAATTCATGCTTGATATAGTTTCTATATGTTATGAGTTTTGTCCGTTATTGTTGCCTTTCTTTACCTTATTTCTTTCTATACGCATGCTCGCTCGTTCTTTGTGCATTGATTTATTTATGTTCTTCTTCTTGAATTATCTTCATTGTGTTTGTCATTTCGTTCTATATCGATGTATGTAAATATTGTCTATCTAATAATGTGTTTCGCATGTGCTTTATTTATGTTCCTTATTTATGTATTATGTTTCTTCTTTGTGTATTATGTTTCTTCTTTGTGTATTTATTTCGTTATGCGTTGCTTGTTTTCTTTATTTACTTATTTATTCCTTCCTTTTTATCTTTCTTTCTTTCTTTCTTTCTTTCTTTCTTTCTTTCTTTCTTTCTTTCTTTCTTTCTTTCTTTCTTTCTCTCTCTCTCTCTCTCTTTCTCTTTCTCTCTCTCTTCCTCTCTTCCTTCCTGTCTCCCTTCCTCTCTCTCTCTCTCTCTCTCTCCCTCTCTTCCTTGCTTCCTTCCTTCATTCCCTATTGTTTTCTTTCTTTCTCCCTCCCTATCTGTCCCATTGCCTGTCCTTCTTTCTTTCTGTTTCTCTCTCTCTCTCGCGCAATTGTTGGATTGTTGTTCTGCGACGTGTCACATGAGCTGCGCTGTTTCTCTTGTTTTCCCGATGTTGGATGCTTCTTCAACATCTTCTCAGGGCCTCATCAGCAGCCCTGGCCACATCAGACCCGCCTGGAGGGACGTGGCTCAGCACCAAGCGCCAATTCACGGAGTGATGCCACACCTGGCGCGCAGCATGTGTCCTCCGATGCGTTCTGCAACGCGAGGAAGAATAGGGGGACCCTCCTCTCCCAAATGCTTGGTTTCCTGTTGGTTTCCATTCAAAGCCAACCAGAATGAAGCCTGTTGGTTTCCAATTGGTTTCCCTTCAAAGCCGACCAGTGCGGAATCAATGAAGCCTGGAAACAGCGAGGTTTGACGGACAGCATGCCTGCACATTTTCCTTGGTAGCAAAATCTGACTATGCAAAGACTAAACCAGTACCAGGTCAATACAAGCCTGATCCTACGCCTGGCTGAGCCTAAAACGATTCCAAAGGCCACAACTGCAGAACGAAGGGAAAGTAAAGTTGGGGAGATCTATAAATTCATTTATAGATACGCATCCAGCTACGGTACATATTCATTGTGACCAAACTGGCGTGGCATCTTGGCGGCATGTTCGTGAGTGTGCCCCATGTAATCCCTTCTACTTACTTTAAAATGGCAGTGCATATATATATATATATATATATTATATTTATGTAGAGCTGTATATATGCTACCTTGGGGGTCATTTTGCCACTGAATTGGGTATAGCAAAGGAACACACCTAGCTTTTGGTGTGGTTTTTATTTCCTTTCTTGTTTTTGCGGGGACCATGTGTGTACATATATATATATACTAATGACCCGGGCTATGTCTGTGCTAGCGCATACAAGCCGCGTCTGCCATGCCCAAGCCGGCTGCAATCGACAAGTCCGCCGGGCTGGCGTGGCCCAAAGTGACTCGACTTCCTCCGGCGGAAGGATCTCCCATGACTTGGTTCGTCACCACCTCGGTGAGACGATCGAAGACTGGTTTGGCCATGGGTCAAAACCCAAATCGTACCCCCAGTGAACATCCCAATCCAACCACTAAAATAGACTAAAATGGGTGGTGAATTCACCTACCCCCAAAATGATACCATTGGTTTTGACCCAAAGCCATTTGGAGCCATAGCCAGATACTCGCCCTTGTCCTTGGCTGAGGGGACAAGCATCGAGGAAACAACAATAAACAAACAAATAATTCAGATAATAATAACAATTAAGCAAATGATGATCTCATGAGACAGTTTTATCCTAAGCCATGGCCGTTCTCAGAATTACGCCAAGTGCAAAGAGGCCAACATACAACCAGCACGTGCTCATTCGGACGCCTATCAGCCTATCGGCTTCGACCAAACAGCCTGTGGGAAAGGCGGAAGGCAGCGCCTGGAAAAGGAGAAAGGTCAAGCGAACATGGGTCCGTCATTTTTCTAGTGTGTACCCTTTTTGGTTGGAGTTTCAAAGGGAAACCAAAAGGAGAACCACAATTTTTGGGGCCCCCGCAAAAAAGGCGTCACATAAACAACGGGTTCGGTTCATCCATCCCCTGGTGCCCAGAAGAGTCTTCCGCGGCCGGGGCCCGGGCCACATTCAGCGACTGTGCATGGCCCTGCAGAGATTCAGCTGGCCCTATGATTAAGATTGCCGCTGGGAGGTATTATTTAGTGAATATTAGCAAATGAAATAGTGAATTGGAATAGTGAATTAAAACAATTGCGAATGGAAATAGTGAATGGGAATAGTGAAAGGACATACGCCTACATGGCGAGGTGACTAGGTCCAGGTGAGTTGTGCTAAAGCTTAGGCCCTTAGGCTTAGCAAAGCAAAGCGAAACAATGTTTATATGCTAAAGGGAAGCCCTCGACTCGATTGGCCCCAAGTCTGCCCAACGCAGCGCCCGCAATTTCCATAAGTGCCAATTCACTAATTTTCACTAATTCCATTCACTAGTTTGTTCACTAATTCTTTTCTCAAGATTGCAGTCTTTTCAAAAGGAAAAAGCAAAAATCACTAACCTGCATTACATTTCACTAAATTTCACTCAATTTCACAAAATTTCGCTAAATTTCACTAAATTTCACTAAGTTCACTAAATTTCATTAAACTTCATCAAATTTCATTCACTAAATTTCGCAAGTCCAATTTAGTGAAATTTAGTGAATTTTTAGTGAATCTCTTTCTAAAAATTCATTGAATTTCATAAATGTCGCTCAATTGCATTAAATTTCACCAAGTTTCATTAATTTGATTTAGCGAAAATTAGTGAAATTTAGTGAATGGAAAATAGTGAAATCTAATGAATTTTAGAGGTCAATTTCCATAAATCGGCAAACTGTTGCTATTCAAATTCGTGAACTAAATTAGCGAATGCTCGCCCCGCCTGTTGGGGAAGCCGCTGGCAGGCCCTCTTATCACAAATGCAAAGACAAATTGGCTCCTTTGCTCAATTCACAAACCTGGAAACCCACATTCTCAATTCACTAATTGAAGTCACAAACTGCAAATCCGTGTTTCCCAATTCACAACTTTGATTCACTAAATATTTCACCCACTATTTTGATTCACAAACTATTTCACTATGTTTCACAAATTTAATTCAAAACATGTGTTTCAGTGTCTGCCTGGTCCGGCAATCTTAACCCTATGATTCATACAGAACTCAAAGTGTCCGGCATATAGCTCCATATGGGATTCCGTTGTTTTGCGGATGCCAACCCAAAAAGTTTGAGGAGGGGGTATGGTACGTTTTGGGGTATGTTTCGGAAGCTTTTGTCTCATACATCATGACGGGGTCGCGGGGTCACGGGCGCTGGGGTCTGCGAAGCACGCCACTGACTTGAAGCAAATGCAGTTGCAAACCTGGTTCCACTCCAACTTTAGCAGGGCCAGTCCAGCCAAAGTTTGTCCAGGCTCCAAGCGAATGTTGAATGACCCACCATGCCTGCGCTCTACAATACACTGCCCACAAACAAACAAACAACCAAACAAACAAGCAAACAACAAGCAAAAAACAAGCAACGAGAGAAAGAAAGAAAGAAAGAAAGAAAGAAAGAAAAAAAGAAAGAAAGAAAGAAAGAACGAAAGAACAAAAGAACGAAAGAACGAAAGAAGGAAGAAAGGAAAGAAAGAAAGAAAGAAAGAAAGAAAGAAAGAAAGAAAGAAATAAAGAAAACAACAAACATAAATAAACAAGCACATACATACACCAAACCACACAGCAACCCAAACACCAACCCGCACGCCCTTGTTGGCTTTCAAAGCACTCCACCGACATATGTGCAAACCGCTCGCGAGATACGAAGCCTGGCGCAAAGGTGGAGACACCAGCACCTGGCAAAAAAACTCTGTGCGGAGTCTGCGGTATGTGTGTCCCCCATGTTTGGTTGGAAGTTCGTTGGGTTCTTTTTCTGCTTTAGGGAAGCAGGCCTTCCTTTTCTTGGGAAGCTGGAGGAAGCCCATGTGGGGGGGTGATCAAAAGGTGCGGACATGGGATGAAGCGCGTTTGGAAAACGAGAAAAAAGATGCGATGCCAACCACCCAGTGGGAAAAGGTTATAATGTGGGGGCCAAAGGCAATGTTGATCATGTGTCAACTCAGTTGCCCAAAGGACCTGCAACTAAAAGGTTGACCTTTTGGGGGCATGACTAAATATGGACCAAAATGGGAAACCAAAAGGTCAAAAGGTCGGCTTTGAACAACTGTGTCAAACGAGCTCTTGGAAGTGGTGAGAACGGGTGCGTTCATCGTTTTCCCCATGGACCCAGGCCCAAAAGGGGACATGCTTTTGACACGTAGCACACGTTGGACGTGACTTGCAACAAGTGGTTCCGTGGAATCCATCGGCTCCGTTCAGCTATCGACAGTCCCCAGAACCAACCACTCTGCACCAAGAGGTCTGTAGTTTGACTCTCTGCCTGGCAAAGCACTCGTTTCACACCAGAAGGATTCCCTCATTCTACACCGGTTACCTCATTCCACACCAGAGTAAATTCAAAGGATTCCCTCATCTCACACCAGAGTCGCCGATTCCATTGCCCCTGCCATGGGATCCAAGGCCGGCACAGACTAGTTTAGAGCTTTTCGGTACAGGAAGGTGAAACCAAGGATTTCCTCATCTCACACCAGAGTTTAGGGTTTAGGGTTTGTAGGGATTTTAGTGTTTACGGAATTTAAGGTTTTGGGTCTTTAGGGTTTAGGGAATTTAGGGTTTGGAAAATGTAGGGCTTACGGTTTTTAGGGTTAAGGGATTGTATATTTTTTTATTTTTAGGGTCTATTGTTTGTAGGGTTTAGGGTTGTTTTTGGGTTTAGGTGTTTTGGGGTTTAGGGTTCTTTCCATAGCTGTCCTCTTTGGAAAATAGATGGCCCTGGTAGATGATTGAACCACCAGGAAAACCAGGGCCTTCTATTTGTTTAGCAAAACAACCAAAAAGGACACCTGGTTCTTTCGGTTTCGGGAATTTTTGGTTTAGGGAATTTAGGGTTTAGGGTTTTGAGGGTTTTTAGGGTTTTAGGGTTTAGGGTTTGTAGGGTTTCGGGAATTTAGGGTTAGGGTTTTCAGGGTTTAAATTTTGTTTAGGGTTTAGGGAATGTAGAGTTTAGGATGTTTATGGTTTTTAGGGTTTTTGGGGTTTAGGGTTTTTAGGGTGTAGGGAGTTTAGGGTTTAGGGTTTTTAGGGTGTAGGGTTTTTGGGGTTTAATCACTTCTTCCTAATTATAAAGGTCGCCCTAATAATAAAAACCCTCCTCCAGAATTCAAAAATCCGGCAATACTACTTTTAGAATAGGCCAATACTAAACCAAATCTAAACTACCCATTTTGACCGATTTTCCCGTTCGTCCTCCAAATCATCCGTATTAGGGGTACCTTTTTTTGCCCTGACTTCCCTTCAAAATAACTTCCCTGACTTCCTATCATCCATGAGTTCCCTTCACCCTGTGGCCCGTGCTGCCTGCTCCTTACCCTGCCTTTTGACTTGGAAGTCTGGTCTGGCTGTCTTTCCCCCAAAACAAAAGGGTCACCGTTTCCATTTAAATCCCTTACTTTAAAACAATCCTCCTAGAGACAGAGATGAGCGAGGTCGTAGGAAGGAGTTAATATGTGGCCGTGGGAAATAGAATGCTTGGATGCAGCGGAAGGAAGATAACTCAGGAACCCACGACCTCTCTCCTCAGCCCTCACCAATATAATGGTTGCATCTGGGGCTGAGTTAAGATGTCTTGAGTTACCTTCCAGCTTAGAGACCAGTCCAAGCGCTGCATTCATCCACATCTCTCTCCTGTCTGTGTTTGATGGATTCATATCTTCATTCCAGCAAACACACAGGAAATAGAGAGATGACACACACTTCCTCCCTTCCCTATCCACTGTTGATGATTGATAGGCTTGGAAGTGGATAGGTGGGAAGGGATGAAGAGGTGTGAGATGGTGGCTGGTAAGAGCCTGATGTGAGACCAGCCAATAACCATCTCTTCCCCATCCCATCTCCCATTCCCACTCCTCTCTTCCCCAAGCCCTTCCTTCGTGGCTTGGAGAGAGGGATGTGGGAGGGATAGAGAGATGAAAAGATATGGCATGTGATTCCCTTTGCAGTTGAATGGTTTTTGGTGCCCGGAAAGGGGGGAACACATTCCCACTGATGACCAATACTAAAACCAAGCTACTCCCAAATGCTGCCCTAAAGTTCCGAAAACTGAACAGGGGACCCCAAATTATAAAAACCTCGGGGGGTTTTTATACTAGGGGGGGGGGGACGTTTTATATTAGGGGGAAGCGTTAGGGTTTTAAGGGTTTAGGACTTTTTGGGTTTACGGTTTTTAGGGTTCAGGGATTTTAGGGTTTAGGGTTTTCAAGATTTAGGGTTTTTAGGGTTTAGAGTTTTTAGGGGTTAGGGTGGTTTTTGGGTTCAGGTGTTTTGGGGTTTAGAGTTGTGTTTTGGGTTTAGGGTGCTAGGGTTTAGGGTGTTTTCGCTTTAGGTGTGTTTCCGGGTGTTTAAGATTTGGGTGTTTTAGGTTTTTGGTTTTTAGGGTTTAGGGATTGTAGGGTTTAGGGTTTCTTTTTTAGGGGTTTTAGGGTTTTTCACGTTTATGGTTTTGAGGGTTTTTGGGGTTTAGGGTTTTTAGGGTTTAGGGTGTTTAGGGCTTCGGGAATTTTAGGGTTTAGGGTTTAGGAAGCCTAAACTGTCTGGTGGCTTGAAAGCAACCGGTGTGAAACGAGGTGATTCGACCGGTGTGGAACGAGTGCTCTCCCCTCTGCCTCCCTTTCTGAATGAAACACTTCACGGCTCCACATGCAGGAATGACAAAGGGGTATGTACATCCGCAACACATGCAAGCCCAATCAGAACTGCGGTGACTCTAATCCTTGAGGCATGAATGAGCAAATTGCTGTTCATGCCGCATGAGCAGCGGGTGCGCCAACTCCGCAAACACTGTAGACACATCAACGGCAGCAAGATGCCCAACAAGCGTGGAGCTGATTGAGAAGGCACCTTTTGCATATCTTTGACTGGTATGAAAGCTATGGATTGCGTCCCCAATTTGAGTGCACCACCTTGTTCGCAGAGAGTTGTTGAAACAAGTAGCAAACACCAACAGTAGTCAGCCCTGGCAACCGTGAATCAAACCTATCTATTCCACAAACCAACCAAATCTTCCAAAAACCTATCTATTCTTCAAAACTATTCCACAAATGTGTCAGATATTTTTTGCAAGCCCAAAAAAAAAGAAGCGAGCGGCCGAAGCAAAAGCCGAAGGACTGAACCTGTGCAGCGGCTGTCCAGCCTTAAGAAGACCCGCCAAAGTGCTGAGAGCCGCCTGCCGAGAGTCACGGCCTATGGATACGTGTCATAATAGGAGGACCCCCATAAGTTGCGGTCTTTGGCTTCCCTGTAAACCAATCTTGAAGAGGGTACCACATCATGAGATTTGCCCAACTTGAAGCATTGATGCAGTGCAACTTAATCTCCAAAACGCTGGAGTTCCTCACTGGGGTGGATTGGTCCGAACACAAGCTTCCGACGTGTTGACTTTGTTGCTCACTACTTAAAACATATGGCTGTGGCTTACTGTGGCTTAAAAAACGGGTACCAAAATGGAACCCTGGCCAGTGGAAACATGGACCAACACCTGCGCAACCCCTCCTGTTTAATTTTGAGCCAAACCCATATTTCAACCTATTCCATCAATGCTTGATTGCTTTCTGCTCCCCTGCCCAAAGTTTAACTCTTAGCGATTTGATTGGAAAAAACCCGTTAGTTTGCAAAAAGTGAAAGTCCTGACATCCCCTGGCAACATGCACCAAAGCTAAGTGCTTGGTTTTGAAGTGGGACACTTGTTGTTCCTTCCTTCTTGCTCCCCAAGCCGGCTGTAGACCTACTACCAATATGCCCCGAAGAACGTGTCAAGTCCCAAAGGGCGACGGCCAGGATCCGGGCACCGGGCCTGGCGCTTCACCATCATGGCCTTCTTGTCCTCCAGGCCTAGCTCGTTGCGCGCCACAGCAGCGACGCTGTCGATCACCTTGGCTTGGGAGGGCTGCCCGCTAAAAGTGACTCACTTTGGTGGGTTAAATGGAAACTACCACTAAACACTAACAGGCTAAGAGGCTAAGGAACCGGATGGCTGGGAGCGACCAAGTTGGGAGAAATTGTGTGTGTGTGATCTTTCGAGAAAGGCGAACGGATGAGCCTGCAAAAGTGTGTGTTCCGCTCATTTTGTGGGGGCGTCCCTGTTAGGGGTTCAAGAGCCGAATCGTGGTACTTCCAACATGCTTGCCACTTGCAGTGTACGTCCATCAGTTCGTATTGTCTGAACATCACCAATCAGCCGGTGTGAAACCATACTACAGTGCAGCGGTGGCATTTCTACACGCACACACACACACACACACTTTTGGAATTGCATCATAGTATAGGAATCTAGATGGCACGTTCTAGTCGGAACATCGACATGTTGGAGCAAATCGAAAAGCGCCTTTTGGTCCTTTTGTTGCGGCTCGAAGACCCGAATTGAAACCATTTCAGTGGGTGGTTTGCAGGTTGGAAGGCTGCCTGCTCTGAATGAAACCTACCCTCGATAAATGGGATTGCCTGAATACTGAACGGTTCGTGTCTCAATCAACACACAACTTCCGAGCCCAAAGCCTTCCCTCACTCCCTGAACGGATTGGCCCGCAACAAGTCCGACCTCTTTAAGTGTCACACGCAGGTCTGCTCGCATCAAAACCTAAGGAGTCACTGGCCCAACCGACTTTGCCCCATCCCTCTCATCCCCTTCTCCTAAGGGCTTGTATTACGCCCTGGCATTCTGCCCTTGGAGAAATGACTCAAGAAGACATGATTTTCTGGAATACCCGCCAAATATGGTACCTGTAGGGAATTTTGTTGCTGAGTCCCCCATGTCCCGAATCCGGCCTGGACAGGACCACTACAACAAAGGCCTCTTTCCTTACTTCACAGAAGGATTCAGGATTGCTTAACAGCCCAGACGAGGGGTCTTTCTTCCGGGTACGTTTGGGGTCTTAAAGGGAAGCCAAAAGGAAAACCGCCATTATTAGTGGGGCCAACCCTTAAAAAGGCAGACCCACAAATCGACTGGTCGCCAATTCGCGATCCATTTCCAACTCGTCTCCGACACTAACTTTGTCGAATCCGGGAAGCCAAGAGAGCGGGCAATGGGCCGCCCTGTGCCGCAAGCTGCGCCAGCTGGCTCGCCACTTCCTGCAGCTCTGCTAGCGAGCTGCAGACCTCGTGTCTTGGGAAGCCGAAAACTGGGCAAAAAACACCCTCGCCGAAAACATTCCGCACCCCCTTTTGCATGCTTTGGTGGGCATTTCTTCAAACTGAAAACCAGCATTTATGCTCAACGAAACTGACCCAAGGACATGTAGTGAGGAAGGACAAAACCAACTTCGTATCAGATGGTAGATGACCCAGTAGTCATACGGCTTCATTCCTCCCAACTGCTGCAAAGTGGATTTGCCCATCTACTGAATGCTGGACACCTCTACGAAGGGCCCGTGGATCCTGGATTCAGACAGTGAGAACCCTCAAATCCAAGCTGAAATGTACTGTATAGCTTCCCAGCCATCAACCCGCGCATTGGCGTTGTGTTCGGCGAACAAACAAAGTACTTGACTTTGGCAATCTGAAATGACAATCAACGGATTGACGCCCGTCCCTCTCAACTCCATGATCCCGCCAGCTAAGCAGCTTGACTGGATTCTTTTGGTGAAAGCTTGCTTGCTTGCCCAGTTGGCTGGAAAACAAGCATCCACCAATCAAGGCTCCCTATATTTCCCCCACAAACATCGAGAAGGAAACTCGTAGTCAATTGGCCCAACAGGCGAGTCACTCAAAACCTGGCACTGAACTGTCCTACCCAAAATATTGCAAAAAAAAGGGCGGACATCCACACCCATTTATGGTTCGGACTATCCCTAACTTTCACTTTGCCCTCGTCTTGATTGTGGCTTAGGCCAGGTCTAACACCACCAAGGGAAATGGGTGTGTCGTTTTTCGAGGGTACCCTCTCACCAATTAACATGAAACCTGACGGGGGTGTCCTGGAAGACAGTTTTCCTTTAAGGGGACCCCCAACGTCAGGTTCCATGTTAGCAGGCCAGCTTGGGGGTCCCCACCTAGGTCCTCCAGTAGAGAGGTTAGAATAAGGGCACCCTTTTTTCTGCAGTCTATGTTAGTAGGGGAACCCTCCCCCAAAAAAGAAACGGTAAAAAGGCACTACTGGGGGACCTAGCCAATATGACACAAACCCAGGTAGACCTTCTTTCGCGAATGTGAGAAAGAAACCTGAGCACCTGTCGCGGTGGCGCACGCGCTCGAGGGCCTGAACGGCCGCCTGGACTGCTGGAGGCGCAGCGTGCTGGCGCTTCTGGTGGAGTTCACCGGGTCTTCCGTTAGGTTTTAATACTCGTTTGGTGCTCTTGTAGTATCCTACAGGGGTGGTTCCACAAAAACAATCTCCAAACCGTTTGCTCGAAGGGTTGTTTGGGTCAGTTGCCCCTTAGGACCCAGGCCATGACTAAAAGTGGGAAACCAAAATGGGAAACCAAAAGGCTCAACAAGTCGATTCGCATGGGGCAAGTGAGTAAACCCACTTTCACGATGCAAGTTCTTCATGAGCTTGCTTCCGGTGAATGCACAACAAAGAAAACACAACCTGGATTCTCTAGGGTCCTTTACCCTCATCATGCTCATGGGCTCAAGCAGCAGCTGCGATCTAAGGGAGCTCAGGTCAAAAACCTGAAACAGGGAATCTCTGTGAGGTCCCCAACGAGGCGCTCAACAATAGATAATTGTCTGTGACATGTTGCCTGCCAAAGCCCAAAGGTAGCCAAACGCCAAACGATTTTGTGTATTATGGTGACTGGGCTGTCCTCACATCCCCAGCTAGAAGTTTGAATCTTAGTGGTCAAATGGAAGGCCCCCGAAACCCTTTAAACAAAAAAACAAGAGACCGGACGGCTGGGAACCGCAAGGTGAGTGTGCCCAGTGTTATCCGCTGTACAACCGTTGCTTGAACTGCTCTGAGGCGCACAAAAGGCCATCAATTCAGGGTCGCTGCAATCCCGCATGATTGTTTTCCATGTGGTTAAGACCCCTGGGAAAAATGAAAGCATTTCCAGTATAGTGATAAATTCCGTTTCACACCAGCAAGGGAAACAAACAATAATAATACCATCTTAAGCAAATGGAAGTTCTGAGTTTGCCGCTCCATGAAGCTTCATACCACTCCGACCTACGAGTCTCTCCATGCACTCTGCGTGCCACCTGAAGTGGAGTGCACCCATTTCTTCATACCGGATCTGAAGAAATTGATTTTCCTTCCCGTGTCAATTGGTAATTTTCAAGTCAAGGCTCAACGACTTGACTGGGCGAGTCTTTTAAGTACCCTTCTCCCTAGAGTCTCCATGACCCTTTAAAATAGGTCCATGATCCCATTCTTCAGGGTAATGACCCCATTTTGAAAGGGTCACGGAGACTCTAGGTCGCCCTTCTAAGCGGAAACCAAAAGGAGACCCGTGGCTATGGCCCCCCCTAAAGGACAGCCGACCCTTCTCCACCGCGCTCAGAATTCGAATTCGCGCCTCTTCTGGAAGCCCGCCAGCCTGAAGCCTGAACTGACAAGGTTTGTCTGAATTTGTGGTGTCTCATACAGTGGTGTCTTTTTTTCGCGGAACCCGCTTTGGGGAAGGAAGCCAGCCATTTGGGAGTCCGTTCTTTTCACGTTTTGATCATGCGCAAGTTGCACGGCACACGGCACGCTTTCAGGAGTGTAACAGAGTGTAACAGCATGTCGATGATCATCAAAGATGCAGTACCAACCCCATGTCGCGCGGCCAAAGTCCCTGCTCCAGCTGCCTCCAGCCCGCCTGAAGCGAGCCTGGAAGCAGTCGGGCCCCAGACTCGGGAGGTCAGATGAAATGGATCTTCCCCCCCCGCAGCCCGAATTCCCTCAAAAACCGGTCAAACTCCCCTCTAGAAAGTGATTAAATCCCCTGTCTCTAAAACCGTAGAAACCGGTCAAACCCCCCTCTAGAAGCTATCGCAAAGGTCAACTTTTCATCTAGAAACCATTAAAATCCCTTTAAAGAACGGTCAAATCAAATTCCCCTTCAGGAACCAATCAAATCCCCCCTAAAAAACCGTAGAAACCGGGTCAAATCCCTCTGGAAACAGGTCCAACTCCTGTCAAATCCCCCAACAAACCGGCAAAATTCCCCCCCAGAAACCAGCCAAATTCCTCACAAATTTGCACTTCTGTAGCTCTCTGCGGCTCTGGCCGAGGCGGGCAACGCGAAGCGTTTACAATTGATCTGTAAAGGCATGATGGCAGTTGTTCATGACGCAGCATGAAAGAAGGGCTCCTCCAAAGTAGAAAACGTCAAACGATAAATCTGGGTTGCTCGATTCCCCTGAGCAACAGGACCAAAATGTGCATAGGTTTGAACAGCCACGCTGTTTTCGTCAGGGTCTAAGGCCACGGGGGATCTGCAGATCGACATGTGCTCACCAGCCTGCAGGACTCAAGACTGGTAATGGCTTGACAAGATTGGGACAAACATACTTGCATAGGTGGCCTTTTGGAAAAATAGATGGGTTTCCCTGGTAAATGCAATAAGCCAACCAGCTAAGCCAGGATTCGCCCTCTATTTTTTTAAGCAAACCAACCAAAAAGGACACCTATGCATACTTGTTTCCCCCAAAGGACGCGGAACATTTAGGTGAGCGCCCTGGTGAGAAGCTTGCTTGGATGGGCCCATGTCCTCGCGCCAACAGACTACCAAGTCATATTGTCGCGCGCGAGCTTCTCAAAATGGCGGATCGGCCCCCTTTTGGCCGATCCATTTCAAGGGAAACCCAAGGAAGCCAATAGTTTTTTAGGGATCCCGATTTTGAGACACCTCCCAGGTCCTCCAGTAGAGAGGGTAGAATAAGGGTACCCGATATATTTTTTGTAGTCAATTTTAGTGGGGGAAGCCTCCCCCAAAGAAGGGGTTAAAAAGGGCACGACTCAAGGACCTAGCCTCATTCACATCGATTCACATGGCATAAAGCGCTCCAAAGAGCCAACACCATTGGTGAGTCTGAGGCCATGGCATTTGAAGCATCCGCTGGGCAGAGAAGGTGCGCTCGGTGTCAAGCCAAAAGACCTGCGCAGGCGACAAGGGCTCACTGCGCAAAGCAAGCCCGCTTTTTACCCCGCGACCCATGAGCATGCAAAAGCCCAACATAGCATCCCCCCCAAAATTAACCCTGACCCCAATGGCTTCCCACTCGTGGTTCCGGCTTCGCCCTGATTGAGGCATGATTCGGGCCTTCGGGCTTGGGACAACACGAATTGTTAGGTGATAAATCATGGAGCTGAAGAAATGCAGCCGTTCGGTGGTTTGCCTAGGCAAACATGAAACAACAATAGGTGAATTAGCGCCCTGCGTTGCGAAGCACCAGAGTACCGCACCCGGACAAAAGCCAAGCCAAACAGCTGGAAGCCGTTCAGACTCAAACCTCAGGCGTGAATTTTGTGTCTTGTCTGACAGAACGTTCCAGTTTGAATCAACTGCTCCAACCAGCCCTCAAGCACACCTTCAATTGTGGTCTTCCGCAAGGCTATGTGATATGTGTATGTGTGTGTGCTTGTTGGGGAGGTGTCTTTGGGGGGTTCCCCCAAAGGGTACTTCAAGTTGCCGAAGTTCCGAAACCGCTCCATTCCGCTTGAGTCCATCCGCCTCACCACCCGCAGCCGCCATAAGTGCAGCAGCGTGCAGGCTGAACCTTCAGCGTGCAGGCTACACACGGAGAGAAGCGATGCCCAACACATACAACCAGGCACAAACATAATGTTGACCGCATATTAAACAAACAAGGGTTGATCAATATGGGGTCAATGTCACTCAAAACAAAATAACACATACACCAAAAACAACTCGCGCGCACACACACACACACGTACGCACGCACCCAACACCCACGCACCCACGCACACGCATATGCACACGCACCCGCATGGACGCATGCCACACAACTGCAATGACCACGCAGCGAAACAAGCCATCAATGAACGAGATGGATCATGATTTTGCACAGGGGTCCGAATTGCAAAACAACGACCTGTCCATACTCTAGCGCGCGAGGATAGTGGCTAGTGCAACTGGACAACCATAGGTTACCCATTTGCACGCATGTCCAAACCCAGCACCGCACGGACAAGTCAGAAGAGCCCAAACATTTCCTGCATGTCACATCTCAGTTGCAAACCAACCGGGTGTTGAATGAGCATGCCGGTTGCGGAGTGCAAATGCAGCTGCATTCGCGAGCAAGTGAATCACCATTCAAGGGAGATGTAGGCTCCGAGTCAGATCCACAGAAACCCAGTGGAAAGTAGGGTCTGCGCCTGAAAGCGAGGCTGTAAAAAGGAGCAAGCAACCCTGACCGAACCTCGGCTGCCAGGCTGTGTTTTGCCCACTCCGGGCGGCCCAGCCACCTGGGTAAAGCGCATTTGGGCAAACTCTACGTCCAAGAGGTGGAACCACTCCTCTGATCCGGGTCCCATTCTCTTTCCCCCCAAGGCTAAAATGTGCGAAACGCCTCAGCAAATACTCAGCCAACATGTTCCCTTGTTGGAAGGGTAGTCAGTGTCCACGGTCAAACGTTCGCTGGCAGAGTCACACATGCCAAACATGAATACTCGAACGGCTAACTCAAGACAGCCATCTGGAAACAAGCTTGGAGTAATTTGATTCTGCACTCTTCATTGAGAAAGGGCAACAAAGGCTTGATTTGATGTGTCGCTACAAATGGAAAATATTACATGAACAAGTATGTGTGTAGGTGTTGTCTTTTTTTCTCCAACCATGCATCATGATGGAGGAACACCTTCTAATGGGAACCCGGGAATATCAACCATCTAGCCTTCATTGACTGAAAGAGGGTGTCCCAGCCTGGCGGTCTGGAGGTCCCTTTTTTACCCCCTAACAATCCGCCAAGTTGATTACAGTAATCCGGGGGCAGCATTGACAGTTTCTGTTGGGCCAGTGATGCGCCCTGAAGTGTGTCTCTGCCTGACCGACCGACCGACCGACCGACCCACCCCTCTCCTGACCAACCCACCCACCCACTGACCTGCCCCAACCTAACCCAACCAACCCAACCAACCCAACCCAACCAAACCAATCCAACCAGCCAAGCAACCAGGACTAAGCGACCAACCAACCAAGCAGGACCAAGCAACCAAGCAGGACCAAGCAACCAACCAAGCAGGACCAAGCAACCAACCAAGCAGGACCAAGCAACCAACCAAGCAACCAAGAGACCAAGCATCCAACCAAAGCAGCCACAGATTGCCTCAAGAAGCTGAGAGGGCAGGTTCTCCAGCATCTTCCGCAGGCTGGCCAGTGGTGCCAGGGGCAACCTGGGGGCCGTTGCAATGGCCCTCCCAGTGCTTGGGGCAATCGCCGGAAAAAACCGCCAGGGATTTCAGCTTTGGGATTTCTCGACAGCGAGACTCAACGAATCCTGGCTGCTGGCATAGTTGCTCAGGCTCGGCCTGCATGGTCGCAACCACCTGCGGTTCCTCTCTTAAGTCTTCTTCCTTTTTTGCCTGCAACCCAAAGAAGGCTCTCCGCAACGGAAAACAAATGCAACCCATGTGGCTCTCCAGTCCGCAGAAGGTCACCATCGCAAGACAACGCGAAGCCTGGCAAAAAGATGAGTAAGTGTATGGTGGATGGAGCACCCAACTAACAGCCCTTGGAACCATCGCGCTTGTCCTTGCAAACCGAAACAGGACTTTGCCAAATACTTACCCCTTAAAACTCCAAGGATTGGGGAAGTTAACCTTTTACAGACATATAGCCCATGTTACCCCCAAAAGTTGAAAAGTTGTGTTTTTACGAGGTAAGAATATATGTATATGTACATATGTATGTGTATATATATATGCATATTTATGCATATCATATTGTAGAAAGACACTTCTAAACACCTTGCACGTCACGCATCTGGGCCACCCAGCTGTGGAGCTACGGAGGTCGCCAAATCCTCAGTGCAGCCGCAAACCGCTGGCTATACATCTCGATTCGGGACGATATGGTGGACAACATTTACACGCAGCATTCATATCAACAACTTCTGCCGGACTGTGTTCCGCCTCGAAATTCGCCGAAGCTTCGTGGACAAACCAGTTGCTTCGGGGCGCGTCTCTCGGAAGGCTCAGGAAGTGCCTTTCGCATCAGCCTGTAGCGCTCTTTCCGTGCGGCGGACAAGCGAAACATGTGAGATGTTTTTATACCAACGCTAACTTAAAACCAGCTGTTTAGGATGTCCTCGATTCCATCGCGTCCGACGTACCGCGTGAGGTTGATCCTTGGGAATGCTGCCTGCCCGGCTACTCCAAGCTGACACACATTCGGAAGCCAACACGGACAATTTGAAGGATATCACTGCGTGTCAAAAGTCTCACTCGCTTAGTGGTAGCGGACAAAAATGACTTGCCGCATTGTTACAAATGGATCTTTGTTTGGTTGGTTGACTTTGGGGAACTCTTCAACCCAAAAAAACATCGCAACAGCCGGGCACTGCAGGCGAATGACTGGATGGGATCTGCGTTCCCCGGCCCAGGCGCTTCTTGGAGGCGCCGCCAGAGCCGCCCAGCCGCGCTGCAGCAGCTCTTCGGCCTCCTCCTGACGTCGGAAAGTGCGTCGGAAAGTGCGTCGGATGGCGTCGTTGGTTGAGTTGCGACCCTCAGGGCCTCAACAATAAAAAGTTCCTTAAGACACTAGGTCCTCCAGTGTTGGTGGATAGAATAAGGGTACCCGAGTTGTCTTTGTTTCTTATTATGTTTTTTTGTTGGTTGTCTATTTTAGTAGGGGAACCCTCCCCCCAAAAAAGGGGTAAAAGGGCACTACTGGGGGACCTAGCTGAGGGTCCCAACAAAAAACAACAGTTTGGGTGAGTCCTGGCTGCTGATAGTCATGATGGCAGCAACGGCAGATACGAGCGCGGCAAGGATAACTACGACAAATCTAACTGCCGCCAGGGCAGCAAGCTACAGTCACCACAATCGCCACCGATAACGCAGCAACAAGCAGCACCACCAAAAAAGAAAAAACACAACACATCCTACAGCTGCATATCTGCTTCTTGAGGCTCGGAACTCTTTGCTCGGCACCCTTGTGGCTTTTACAGGCACACCTCTTTTGGCACCCCAGACACGCAAGTCCAAACTTTTACTTTGCCACCAAAATGCTCCAAACCCAAAAAGTTGCTCAAGTCCGAAACGGAACTCATGAAGCGAGAGTCATATTTGAAGGGGGACCAAGATCCTTCTTTCTAGAAAACCTCCAGAAACCCAGAGAAAACTGCAGGTTATTGAACAGAACGATGGTTGAAAAGACTTGTTGGAATCAGCCCCTAGAATGTTGGTCAGGTTGTTGAACAGAACGATGGTTGAACAGCAGGGTTGGAATCAAGCTCTAGAATGTTGGTCAGGTTTTTGAACCGAACGATGATTCAACAGAATGGTTGGAATCTACCCCGTAGATTATTTTGTGGTCCGGTTTTCGATGGTTGAACAGAATGGGGTGGTGTGTTTCAATATAATTTCCTTCTTTTTTAACTTTGTTGTTGTGGTTGTTGTTGTTGTGGTTGTGGTCGTGGTTGTGGTTGCCGTTGCCGTTGGCGTTGGCATTGGCATTGGCGCTGGCGCTGGCGTTGTCGCTGCGTCGTCGTCGACTTTGTTGTTGTTTTTTTCCGGTTGGACTCAACCCTCCGGTTGCGCAACCCCCAAAGATCGCCGCCACGCAGCGCTCAGTCCGCTCAGTCCTCGGTGCTGAGGAGCCAGTCCCGGAGCTCCCAGGGCGCCAGGTACACCATGTCTTGCCTCACGGCTTCGCCCCGTCGCCGCGGCCTGCAACCCAAAGAAGGCTCTCCGCAACGGAAAACAAATGCAACCCATGTGGCTGTCCAGTCCGCAGAAGGTCACCATCGCAAGACAACGCGAAGCCTGGCAAAAAGATGAGTAAGTGTATGGTGGATGGAGCACCCAACTAACAGCCCTTGGAACCATCGCGCTTGTCCTTGCAAACCGAAACAGGACTTTGCCAAATACTTACCCCTTAAAACTCCAAGCCCTGGGGAAGTTAATCTTTTACAGACATATAGCCCATGTTACCCAACAAGTTGAAAAGTTGTGTTTTTAAGAGGTAAGTTTTGTTTTTGCCGCGCCGCGTCGTTTTGGGTACCCGTCGCGTTTGTTTCTCCGTTTCTCGCCGCGTCGTTTTGGTTTGGGGTACCCGGTTTTTCGGCGGTGGTAAAGGGGAAGACGAGGAAAACCACGGGATTTTTTGGGGGGGGCCAGGTGTCCAATCTTGAGACAACTCAAAATTGGGCCCGAAAGAGTAATTTTGACCTGAAAACCAGGGTGGCATATGGATGATCAACACATGGCAATGGTTTCTTGGAGATATGCAGGGTTCCCTTTCGGATTGAACAATGAAAAGTTGGACCCCAGGAGAATGGTTACTACTACCAATTTCGAGACCGTGGTGGGTTCAAACAGTCATGCCAAACATTTGCAAAAACCAGACTCAATCCGGATTTTGCGGGAATCTGGGCTCCATAACCATAGCCCGTGGTTTGCTCTGGGCAACTCGACAATATTGAGAAGGGAAAAGTGACAGTTTTCCTTGCGATGTCTCTTCAAATATCAACTATCAACCTAAAATGGGCGTTGATCAATATTCCTGGCCCCAAAATGAGCATGGGTAACTTTTCTCATTCAGTGGTGAAAGCCATCTTTTTTGGTGGTTCCCGAATGGTCCCCCCATGTAAAGGACCTTTTGATCAACCTTCAAATTAGGTACCCTCAACAAAAACAAGCACCCACTGAGTGCGGTGATTTCCCAAGCTGAAGCTGGGCCCGGCGCAAGGTGAAGAGGCGCCGTGCCCGTAGAAGTTCTGCGATGGCAGGGCCCTGTCAAGATCCAACTCATTCGCCAAACATCCAGGGCTTGAATTCGCAATTTTTGAAAAGCCCGCCGTTTCAACCGTGGGTTGCTGACTTTTTCTCTGAGAGTCCCCCGCGAAAAGCCAGCCGATTCAATTTTGCAGTTGTCTTTTTCTCCGAGAACTCTTGGAATGAGTGGGAAAGGCCGTGGCGAGGGTAGCCGGGCGGGTGTTACGATCCAACGTGCCAAACAAAAATCGGAAAAACGGCTGCGCCCCAGTGACACTGGCAGAAACAGAGTTGGCACCCTTTTTTGGGGTCGACCATGTTTAGTGGAAAACCCACAAAGCAGAAAGGGACTCAGGATTTGGTTCATGGGTTCTAACCAATGGGATAAGCATTGCGGATGTTACACACATGATGGTCCCGGACCCTAAGAGACACTAGGGGCCTGGAACATCGTTGTGGTTCTCCAAAATGTTCATCATCCAAAATATTCATCCAAATGAGGACCGTAGTGGTTGTCCAAGAGGTGGTTCATGCAAATATTAGTCTTCCATTTGCATTTTCGCCCCCGGAGAAACAGAGAACATGCCAGTACTGAAATCGATTCCCTCAAAACCAACCCGGAAAAAATACAAAACATATCCCTCCGTGCAAATGGAAGGCTTCTAAATGGCTATGGGTCAACATCAAACCGCCCGCGGATCGCAGGTTTTGGTCCATGCTTCCACTTACCAGGGCATCCCATTTTTGGGTACCTATTCTTGACCCACAGCCAAATCAAAAACGCCCAGGGACAAGTTTACAAAGCGTATCCCTTGCCGCACATGGACGGCCTCAAATCCTTGGAGCCGTTTTTGTTCGGCCCCCGCCCCTTTCGTTCGTTTGCTTGTCGACTCTTCGCCTCCTGCAGGCCCTCCGAGCCGAAGAGCTGCCCCAAACTCGACGTCGTCTCAAGGCGGCCTGCGCGCTGCCCGCGGAAACGGGGCATGGACCAAAGTCGCCTATTTAATGTTGTTCACCAAGGAATAGTTCCTGAGTTACAAGGATTTCGCGAACAAATTATATCCAATTGACCGCTAACACAGAATGTGGATCACCAATCAATATTCCTTCCTCATCATCCTCCATTCTATGTCATCACCTACCTCTGGATCTCTTGGACAGGTGAGGACGAGGGAATTAGGATATGAAGAAAGAAATCTCAACTTTTCACCAACATTCATTTCCTTTATTATCCGGTTACCTTCATTCCAAATCTAATTATTAAACTGTGTATCTTTGCCTAAGATTAAAGGCTTTTCCAAATACCATTCCATCCTTATCTTCTTAGCATTTAATATTAGTTCCTGATGAGATGGATCTGTGAGACTAGGAAGAAGAGAATTAGAAAGTGAAAGATGACAAAAAAGGAAATGTAATAAAAGCAGCAAAATGAACATAGGAAATGAAAGACAAGGAAGATGTATCCAGATGCAACATTAAGATGGTAAAATAGAATCTTTCCATCTAATGCCTGCTAACCAAAGAAGATTCCAAAAAGAAAACAAATAATAAAGGAAAAGCAAATTATAAAAGCTAATAATAAAGGGAATTACATTATGAAAATAGACTATCTTTCCTGGAATTATTAATATCCTCAATTTGAAGAAGATGGCATGGGATCTACAGGAAATGAAAGTAAAAAGAAATCCAAAAGTAATTAATAAAATAATGATTCCAAAAATCAAAGAACGAGATAAAAGAAAAAGACAATACGATATAAATAAATAACCAAAAAGAAAGGTAAATATTATTACGACAAAATACTAAAATATGAACGAAGAAGATGAAAGATGAATGAAGATAAAGATCTCATAATAAAGACAAACAAGAGAAAGATATTAAGATCTTAGAATAAAGTGAATCATTTTAAATAAAAACAAAGACAAAAGAAACCAAAAAGAAGAATCCTAAAGCAAAGAAAAGATTAACGAGAAATAGACAAGGCATGCCAAGGGAGATAGAATCCGGTTCACTAACCCTCCATTCCAACCCTTCCTAGCTTCTAAGCCTCTATTTCCTGAAGTATTAGTTGGCTTTATGGTTGGATTCTTTCGTCTAACCGCTACATCTTGGAAATCATATCCCTTTCTTCTTCATCAACTTTCATAATATCAACATCTCATCTAAAAAGCATTATGACACTAATAAAATATCATTTCCTTATCCAATAATATGTCTTTCTCTTTATCTTCATTCTCTTCTATTTTATTTTACTTTTTTATTACTTTCCTGCTTTTATTATTTTCTGTTATTTTGCTATGTTAATATTTTTATAAAAATGAAAGGACGAGGGGTATATTCTCAGAGATCTATCATTGTAACCTCCAAAAAACCAGGAGTGAATATTGCCTATCTTTCAGGGTCTTACACAGCATCCAACTAACCAGATATTACTTTAGGAGCTGCCACATGATGCATCTCTTCATTCCTCACTGTCGCTCCCTCCAAATCTCTAGACCAGGCAACCCACAAAGAGAATCCAGACACTTCCCTACAACCCTTTCACCCAACCACCATTCTATGCTGTAGGTGAAAGACCAGGAAAGATATTATGTCCCTTCTGTAGCCACCAAATAACCTCCAATAAAGACAAACAGGATAATGAATCAGGTGGCTACATCATATTATTTCCTTATCTTTCCATTTCTCTTTTATTTTCAAGTATAAATATTGGTTGAGGACGTTTCCTTCCGTCGCTTCTATCGTTTATCCTCATCCATAATAACCGACGGGAAAGGTCCTGAACTAACCTACAAACACAATCCAAATAACCATAATAAAAGGAAATTAAAATAATAAAGACAAAGAAAGATGCAAACCTAAGGACTGTTAACGCCTGGTCTGGATAAGACTCGTTTCTTCAATAGTCTTACCGCTGCAGCTGGGACTAGATTTCATGGTCACTTTCCTTACACCTCCAAGCCTCTATTCTATGGCGTGGTGAGGTGAAGGGATGACCAATAGAAATCTTCCCTATCCTTCCTGTCACCTATCCTCACTCTATCACTTCACCGTTCCATCGTGAGTCTTTCATAGTGACAGGAACTCCAGAAATTGAATGGAGTGAGATGATGGAGTGAGAGGGAACGGTAAAGCGAGCGGAAATGATGGATGAAAAAACCTGCCATCATTATCCACTTCCCTTCCTCTTTCCTGCTTCTTTCTCTTTCTTGTTTCCTCGCTTTTTGGATTGCTTCGTCAACAGGAAAGAAGCGAGACAAGGAAAAAGGAAAGGACAAGCATTAGATTGAGGATTATTTTTCCTAATCAAGAGATTTCTACCGGAAAAATCCTCAATCATATGCTGTGTCTATAGGTGAGTCTTATCTTATCCCTACCATCTATCTCTTCGTACCTCACCCCATCTTATCTCCTCCACACACCAACCGTTCCACCTTTCCAAATCCCAAGGTGTTACATTGTTGTAGCTGGAGAACCTGATGTAGTGAGGAAACGAAAGGATAGGAAGGGATCCAGCACACAGTCTATTTCTCTATCTCTCGGTCATATGCTGTCTTCATCAGAATCCTATCATTGACCGCTGACAAATAGACCTCTATCCACTCACTTTCTTCCCACTCATCCCTTCCGCTGTCTCTCGGTTTCACGGGGGTGGTTGTCAAAAATGAGGTAAACATGGGCGAAAACCTGCCTGGTTGCTTCATTTTTGACCCAAAACCACCTGGCAACCGAGAGGGGGGGAGGGAACCCAAACCTGGCCTGGGCTTCGGAATGTTCAGAGGTTGGGAATGGGCACGAAACTTTGCAATGCTTGTGCCAGATCATCCAAAGGCCTCCTTCACAAAAATGCATTGCCAATGAGCCAAGGTGTACATCCTTCAGCGGAACCTGCAGGTGAGCCCCAGCCCAAAGATGCGAGCCACCGCCTGCGCTTTTGCTGGCTCCTTGATCCAGGATTACCCTGTCTCCCATGGAAGCAAAAGCGTTGCGCCTGGTGAAAACAGCTCAGGTCATACGAAAAGCATCTTACCGTCGCCAGCTGCCATGATTCGGACAAAGCGTGTCCTGATTCTTGTTTGAAGTTACGCTCTTCGATGCAAGGAATAAACAGACTGCCGGCATAAAACATTTGCCACACCTTGGAAAACAAATCAAACGGCAACACATTCAGGAACAAGGCAGAATCTAACCTGCACACAAAAGGCTTGCAAAGCCAAACGGGTCTGGGTCAAAATTGAACCAGCAGGGGACCGCAGGTTTTAGTCCATGTTTCCATTTACCAGGGTGCCATTTTGGGCACCTATTTTTGACCCACAGCCAAATGAATCCAGGATGTTTGGGCCCCAAGTGCTGGGCAAAACGGGCAAATAATATCAGAGAATCCGTAAACAAAACTCAGAGCTAGACACAAGTAGAGCAAAATAAAGCCAAACACTTGGCAAAGACATTGAGCTGTGCAATGTGTACGGCCAAGTGCTCAGAGGCTCGCTGTTAAATGGCTCAGCCCGCGCGGCCAAGATGACAAACCAGTGTCGGTTAAGTACAGAACAGCCTTCTGCAGTGAGAGGAGCATTGCATCTTGCCGTGCCCAACCCGGATACAGTACGCAAAGGGTTCGTTAGAGATGCATCGAATCTGAGCGCGCCAACATGCCCAGTCCAACAAACCAGAACCTGAACTTTCAGAGGTAACGTTCAGTCTTGCACTATACAGCCTCGCGTTGCTAGATTTATTCATTGATTACGTGTTATGAATTGTTCTTACCTATTGACATGTTTGGCTCTACAGGGATGTTTCCATTTTTGGGCTTGACTGTCCTTCATTGCTCATGATGCATCACGTCACCATCGGGGTTCTCACTCACTGGACCTCACGGCACCGGTTTTTGCGCACGGCACTTTGAAGCGTTGCCGGCCTGGGGTCGTTGACATTGTGGTGTGTGGAGAGCGATGCCGATATACATTGACGGCTCTTGCGAGGCCTGAAGGCTTAGAAGAACCGCGTCACGCAAGCTGTGCGTTGAGTGCGTTGCAGGGGATATAATGCAAGCTGTTTGGTCACCCGCAAACTGATCACTTGGATGACATCACCATTCAATCACACAACTCGTACCAGGTTGAAGAAATTAAGAAGGTGTTCTCAAAGCGAGCTGTTTGGCAATTGTGCCTGGGTTGCATTACACTCATGGGCATGCTGTCAAACTCCATATGCAGCTGGGAGCCAGGTCTGGTGTCGCGATTGGCCTACTCAATTGCAAACGATTCCAGCTGTAACCGACCGACTGACCGAATCAAGTGCTTGGAGTTGCTCAGTCTCAATCTACGCACAGCTGAAACATGCATTCCGTCGTGCCACGGTCAAAAACAACCAGGACATAAACAAACACCACGGTCACAAACAACCAGGATTTTTTTTTTTTAACAACAACATCCTCAGCACTTCGCCTTTGATGCCGATTGGCCTGGAGCTGGACTTGCAGTTCAGAAATGTTCGCAGAAACTGCCAACATCTGGCATTGTGTGTACAATATCTCATGTCAGCTGATTGAAATCCGTGGTTGCCAACAACGGGTACGTATCATTGTGCCCAGCATGATACGGAATATATATATATATATATATATGATAATGCCCCCCTTTGCGATATGTATCTCTATATATATATATATATAGATACGTATACATATGTATATATATATATATATGTATACATACCCCCTCAAAACAACTATTCAGGGTAGAGGCAACTTTCAATTGCACACCGCCATGAATTTGATAGGCCTTGAGGTCTCGAGGGTCTTTCTGGCGACCTTCGCTCCACAATCCCATGGCCTGTCGCCTTCAGTCACCTGGCTGTTGTCAAAAAAAAGGTTAACCCCAAAACAGGTTACCAAGGAAACATGCACTTGGTTGACGTTGGAAGGGGAGCAAAAATTGAAGAAACAAAAAGCAGGTAAGTGGTTGGATTTCCCACTAAACCACAATAAGCAAAAATGTAAAATGCTTCCCAACGACAACCATGTGCACCCGCCTCTTGACTCCAAAATATGGAAAACGCCTTCGAATAGAACCCCTCTTAGGTTACCTGGGAAGGAATAAGCAACCAGTTTTATATTGAAGCTCCGGGGACTGTTCCCCTTCATAGGAAGGTGACTTTGAGGAACGCAACGTACCTTAAACTTCAGTTCGAGGGCCTGTCCGCATTGCGAAAGTGTCAAGGGCTCATCTTCGCGGATATGTGTCAAGGTGGGGGGACCTCTAAACATGCTTGCTTTAGGTCTTCCTTTAAACCAACCCCCAAAGGGGTACCCATGGTATCCTCAAAAGGAAAGACACACCCATATCCCAGTGTGCGCCGGCCTGGTGTAACTCGATGAACTCTGATGCCCGTACCAACCAGATCTGTTTTTTTTTGTTTTTTCCTGTACGCGTTGCACAGACAGCCCCTTACTTCCAGGTTCCTTTCTTTTCTTTGGAAAACCTCTACCTTGGGATTTGTTTCTCGGGAATCACGCGGGTTCAAGCTCTTGGGCTCGTTTTTCCTCTGCTTCAGCGCATGCCGCCGAAGAGGCGGCACTCAAACCTCGGTGCAGTTCGTTGGGAGCATGTGGCCGGATCTTTTAGCGCTTGGTGGGGAAGAAACTTGGGAACGTGGAGCAAAAAGAGAACACAGTGGGGAACAAACTGGGAGGGTATAAAGTACGGGGGTTGGAACAAAATACATCTTAAGATTTCATTTCGGGAATTAAGAAACCCATTGTTGCGCATATGTTTGTCACTCGAACTCTGGGCACTACATAATTAGAGTCAGCAAAGCCGACATGCTCACAGTTGTCCATTTCCATGCTTGCGCTGTGAAGGGCAAACATTCGGCAGGCACGGGCTGGCGTCCTCTTGTCTTAATCAACTCAACATGTTGTGGGTTGTTTCACTGGCTTTGACAAATGGGGATGTCTTTTTTGGAGAGTACCCCTGTTTGTGGTTTTGAAGGGACACCAAAATAAACCAAAAGGAACACCGGGTCCAACCTTACAAAAAGACACCCCGAGCACCTGATGATTTGTGTTTCTTGCTCTGCTGGCCCGGGTAATTACTCCTGCTATAAGTTGAGACCGATCAGGGGTGGTTCCACTCTTCTCCACTCTTTCCCTCCTGGTACAAAGCCCAGAGGAAAACAGTGAATCGTTGAAAACCACAAAATGGGATCCCATTGGTTTTGATAACCACAGCTATATTCCCTGCGCCCAAAGGCGTTGCGAGACTCGGCCCGCATTTTCCCAGTGCTTTTGCCGCCGACAGCGCCAGGCTGAACTCGGCCGAAGCTGCATCGCAGTTAAGGTCCGGTGGGAGGCAGCAAGCCATGGAGACACGCAAACACGAAAGGTCCTTGGTTGCCGTAACGGTCCCCCTGCAAAAAGTGAATAACTGTTTTGGGGGGTTTAGTGGAAGACACCTCCATTTCAACCAAACAGTTAAAGTCTATAGATCCAACCCAATAGCAGTCAAGGGTCGGAACTGGATTGCGACATCTGCGAAGCCCTGCTAAAAGCGAATAAGTTTAGTGGGCTTAATTGGAAAACCGTTTCATCAGTTGGCAAAAAGTTGAAGAACATCCCTTGGCAACATCCGAAGGGAAGGTCATGGTTCTCTCAGCAGCCTGACTTGATCACCAAGCTGAGGCTCTCAACTGCACCCCGCCGGAAAAGGTGTGACCCTGGCACAAAGAATTTGAGCCACTGAATCTACTTTGGCAGTGGGTCAAAAATAGGTACCCAAAATGGAACCCTGGTAAGTGGAATCATGGACCAAAACTTGCGGTCCATATCCTGGTTTACTTTTGACCCACACCCATTTTGGGAAGTTCAAGAGACAGAACCAGCACCCATGTGCACAGGCCTTTCCCTTGAGAAAAACGGCCGGCTCAAAGCCGCACCTTCGTCGGAGGTGCCTCGCCAGCTCTAAGCAAGCCCGACCTCAGACTCGAAACCTTGGCTGGAATTAGGACCCCAGCAAAACAACTATTTTTTTGCCTGGTTAGTGGAAAACAAAGGGAACCCAAAAAAACAAAACAATAAACAAGGGGAAGTAATTCGGGGGAAGAAACGTCAAAGTTCTATTGATCGCGAGGTCTCTCCATGTGGCAGGTCGATGCCTTCGAAGACACGCGTTGTTTGGCAATCTTCAGCTTCGCTGAAGCCAAAAAGCTATGTGTCTTTATCTTGGACAACTGGCCTTCAAAAAAAAACAGGTTTTCGTACCACGGTAACGATCCTGCGAGGCGATTAAAAACGTTGCAAAACTCCAGGCTTCTAGTCAGCCTCCGGCAAGGATTAAGGCACCCCACTCCGGAGGGAAGCTCCCACTTCGCATGCTGCAAGCATGAAGTGATAACATCCATGCGCAGCTTCCTGCTGCTTGCAACGCATTCGCGACTCGAGGATCCAACGGCCCAAGCCATGTGGGGTTGTAAGAAAACCCCGTGACCTTTTAATTGACCCTCAACACCGTTATCGTGTTTTTTTCTTCCTTATCGTTTTACAGGTAACTGGTGTTGGATGATAATTGTGTAGTAATAGTAGTAGCAGCAGCAGCAGCAGTAGTAGCAGTTGTAGTAGTAGTAGTCGTCGTAGTAGTAGTGCTAGCTTCTTATAAAGCTCCTTACAAAGCTTCTTCTAAAGCTTCTTATAAAGCTTCTTCTAAGCTTCTTACAAAGCTCCTTACAAAGCTTCTTCTAAAGCTTCTTATAAAGCTCCTTACAACGCTTCTTATAAAGCTTCTTAAAAAAGCTAGTAGTAGTAATGTAGTAGTAGTAGTAGTAGTAGTAGGAGTGAGTAATTGTAGTAGCAGTAGTAGTAGTAGTAGTAGGAGTAGTGGCAGTAGTAGTAGTGCATGGTAGTGGTGGTGGTGGTGATAGTAGTAGTTGTAGTTTATGAATGATAATAATTGTAGCAATAGCAATAGTAACAACAACGGTACTGTTGTACGGACGGACGTCCGTCGGGCGGGCGCCCGCCCGACGGGCGCCCGTCTGACGGGCTAGTAGTAATGTAGTAGTAGTAGTAGTAGTAGTAGTAGTAGTAGTAGTAGCAGTAGTAGCAGTAGTGGTGGTAGAAATACTAGTAGTAGCAATCGTAATAGTAGTCGTAGTTGGATAACTTGCTCAAGTGGACCTGTGGTGGCTTCGCGCACTTCGGGGCTGCTTCAGACATGTTTCCGAACTGTTTCGGACTGCTTTTTGAACCCAGGGCAGTTCCGGTTTTGAAGCTTGACCCTTTGAAAAAAGCACGCGGTGCCCCTGTCACTTGTCGTAGTTCTAGTAATAGTAGTATAAGTACTAGTACTAGTTGCATTAATAGTAGTAGTAGTAGTAGTAGTAGTTGTTGTTGTTGTTGTTGTTGTTGTTGTTGTTGTTGTGATAGTAGTTAGTAGTAGTAGTAGTAGTAGTAGTAGTAGTAGTAGTAGTAGTAGTAGTAGTAGTAGTAGTAGTAGTAGTAGTAGTCGTAGTAGTAGTAGAAGTAGTAGTAGTAGTAGTGGAAGTAGTAGTAGTAGTAGTAGTAGTATTAGTAGTAGTAGCATAAGTAGCAGTAGTAGTAGTAGTAGCAGTAGTACTAGTCGTAGTGGTAGTAGTAGTAGTAGCATTAGTAGTAGTAGTCGTACTAGTAGTAGTCGTACTAGTAGCAGTAGTAGTAGGAAAAGTAGTAGTAGTAGTAGTAGTAGTAGTAGTAGTAGTAGAAGTAGTAGTACTATTAGTAGTAGTAGTGGTAGTAGTAGTAGTAGTAGTAGTAGTCGTGAGTAATAGTCGTAGTAGAAGTAGTAGTAGGAGTAGTAGTATTAGTAGTAGTAGTGGTAGTAGTAGTAGTAGTAGCAAGAGTAGTAGTAGTAGTCGTCGTAGTAGTAGTAGTAGTAGAAGGTTGAGTAGTAGTAGTAGTAGTAGTAGTAGTAGTAGTAGTAGTAGTAGTAGTAGTAGTAGTAGTTCACGCAAACGTTATCTTTTTTTCTTCCTTATCGTTTTACAGGCTTTTTGGCATGCACCACCCTTTCCGGACGAAGCCTTACACAATGTAAAGGCGCGGGGTATTCATACAACCCCATGTGGTTGACCTCTCTCTCTCAGAAAACACGCTGGCCGAAACTCAGCTGTGTCAAGATCCTTGCCTGGGCACATGTATTGGCACATGGGGCCACATGCGCCCTCTTCAAACAAGCAACAAATCGAACACCTCAAGAAACTTCAATCGAACACCTCAATACATGGCTTGACACCCACTTGCTTCCCTCGGATTCTGCAAGTCACCACGAATTACAAAGAAACGAGCTGCCCGGCTGCCGTGCGAGAAAACAGCCTGCAGGTCATTGACTCACGCATCTCAGGCGTTTCTGGGAATTGCAGAGCTTCCGCATCCGATTGCATGTCCACGAGCCCGCCCCGGCGACGAAGTGAGTAGATGCAGTTTTCGAAGACGTGGGGTTGCTGCGCGACGCACTGCAGGAACTTGGCAAAATCCTTCTCGTGTTGCTCAGGTTTGCCCGTGGAGGGATGCTTGCTCACAACGGAGGGATGCTTGCTCACGATGGAGGGATGCTTGCTCACGATGGAGGGATGCTTGCTCACCATGCACTTGGTGTACATGGCGCTGAACGATGGAGTCTGTCAGCTTGAGCTCTTGATGTCTCCGGTCAGCGATCACCGGATTGCTTCTTTCAAGTGATGGTTGTTCTTCCCTCCCTTCTCATTACATCAGCTTCAAGAAACATACCTATGTGCCCCTACGGGCGTAAAATACATGTTTGGCTATGAATTTAAGAAGGGACCCTTTGGTGCACATTGTTTAGGTGGGGATTTATGTTTACCAATTACTGTTGAGGTGGTTCCCTATTTAAATACATGGCCATATCCTTTGCCCAAATACAATCACACGCTGTGGAATGCCTGGGCTGGCCCCTTGGTCATCAAGAACTTTGTGCCCCCATGTCCCTTCGGCGCAACCGTAAGGGGCAAGTCCCCGGATCGCAGAATTCCTGCACTGACCCCCTCCGCGCATTCCAACTGAAGGCTTAACTACGGGGTCCGTATGGCACACGTCCCAAAAGTGACGTGAAAGCCCCAGGTACTTTGAGTCGAGGCTTGTTTACGTTGAGCTCCCGCGCCCTGGATGTCTAGGCTTGGAAGCCTGGAAAAGCTGTCTCGGAGCTTGGCCCGTTTGCACACACTCGAAGTCGCAATCCCCAAATCCACTGACACATCCATGAAATGCCACTGAGTAGTTGTGCTCTAGCAGGACGTAAACAAAATGACCTCGCAGAAAACAAGCAAACCAGCAAGCGAGCAAACAAAGAAACAAACAACAAACAAACAAAAAAACACAACACAACCAACAAACCAACGCACCAACGAACCAACGCAATGAAACACAACGCAATGATGCAACGCAACCAAGCAAGCAAGGAAACACATGCACAAACACAAACACGCAAACACACACACACACAAACAAACAAACAATCAAACAAACAAAGAAGGAAAGAAAGAAACAATCAAAGAAAGAAAGAAAGAAAGAAAGAAAGAAAGAAGGAAGGAAAGAAAGAAAGAAAGAAAGAAAGAAAGAAAGAAAGAAATAAAGAAAGAAAGAAATAAAGAAACACACAAACAAACAAGTAGGGCAAGTAGGGCAAGTACAGCCGTTCCCGAGTTAGGCTTTCTCTGAAAGGCGAACTGGTTACCGACAAATATTAAAGTCGAAGGTCGACTGCCGAGCAGCCAAGTTAGCTTTAAGCCCACCTGGTTGGATGACTTTGGAGCAAGGCACTGCGGCAGCTTGACAACACCCCTTGCTCACACCCAGTGTGTCTTATGCTGGGCGGCTGTCTCCAAATGAGGAGCCCAGCTTTGCTGCGCTCGAATATAGAGAGAGACATGGACTCGATTCATCCCTCAGAAGAAATCCTTGTTCAGCGACAGAGGTACATGCTACATGCAAATCCTGCTTTGTGTACTGGGTTGCATCTTTTCATGTCTGAACAGCTGTCGTTTCCGGGTCTTCTTTGGTTTAGGGAAGCGTCCAGGCATACCCTTAAAGGCCCCAATAGCTCGGGTGTGAATCCTGCGGTTGCTGTCTTGCCACTGTAGTGTGACATTTCAAGTTCTGCTTGGTTTCCTGGTCCGCGCTTCGCTTGGTATGTTTGTATGTAGGACCGTCAGGGAGGAAGTCGGTCAGTCTGTTTCTCTGTCTGCTTGTTTGTTTGCTTGCTTGCATGCTTGCTTATTTGCTGGTGTGTTTGCTTGCTGGTGTGTTTGCTTGATTGTTTGGTTGTCTGTGTGTCTGCCTGCCTCTCTCTGTCTGTGTTGTGTTGTTGTGTCTTGTGTTTTTGTTTGTGTGTTTGTTTGTTTGTTTGCTTGCTTGCATGCTTGCTTATTTGCTGGTGTGTTTGTTTGTTGGTGTGTTTGCTTGATTGCTTCTTTGCCTGTTTGTCTGTTTGCCTGCCTGCCTCTCTCTGTCTGTGTTGTTGTTTTGTTGTGTTTTTGTTGGTGTGTTTGTGTGTTTGCGTGCGTGCGTGCTTGCTTGCTTGCTTGTTCATTCACCTGCAGCAATGGGTCGATAAAACATGAATTTGTGTTTGTGGCTCAAACAAAATAGCCACTCTGTTTGATGGATCGACAGCATGACCCAAGCAATGTCGAGCTCAGTTGCTTCCCTCTTCGGGGCACTGCTGGGGTGTGCGCAACCTGCTTAAAAGCTCTCGCACCGAGTGACATGACCGAGCGACAGAACCTGGCAATGTTCAAGGGCCCGAAACCGGTGGCCTGGAGTTGACATTGCGGCGTTGGCATGCTACTCAAAAACGCTCGCCTCCAAATGAGGGAAGCCTTAAAAGGTGGCTAGAGCTGCCCTGGAGATTTTGCTCTCACACTGCTCATGCTGATCACACAAACTGAAGCATTTCACCTACCCAAAAAAATGGACTTGCCCAACAGAGTGTTGTTCCAAACAAAGGCACACACACACACAGCACGTCAGTAAACTGAGTGATGCTGTGCAAATCCGATTGCTGCTGAGAGCCAGGAAACGCGATATGCCGTTGCGCGATCTGCGTGACACGCCTTTGGTTGATACAGTCCTGGAATCTGCGTCAGCGATCAGTTGCCGTCAGTTTTGCCGCCATTTAAGCCGCATCCTATCGTGCGCACACGCAGATTTCACGAGCAAACCCATGACAAGATCATGGCTCGGAGCCTTCCAGCGCTCACCCCAGCACATGTTTCACGCCAACTGATCCGCGGACGCCGCCCACGCCCGTACTGTACACTGTACAAGCGACGGCTTCCGCAACCGCGCGCGAGGCTCTTAAAGAGCCTCGGAGATAGTGGCGAACCATTTTCCCGCGTTCACAGAGCTTGGCTGGAATTAGGACCCCAGCAAGAAGCTATTTTGTTTGCCTGCTTAGTAGAAAAAACAAAAAGCAAAAAAGTAAAAAAGGGGAACTAATTCTGGGGAAGAGAGGATGCTTTCCCAGGGTCTCACATCTTGCTCAAACGGGAGCGCTCAAGCTGCATCACCTGGTGGCCACTTCGTCGCCCGTGCCGCGCATTCAGGACAGCAGGGCTGACCTAGGCTGCCAGGCCAAGCGCTCCAAGTGCCTTGTCACCTCAATGCTTCGAGTGTAATCCCTTCTTCCTTCTAACAAATGGACCCTATCAATAAACATGTTTTGTCCCCCAGAGTCTATTTTTTATTAGGGGGGGTCCGCGTTTATTATTGGGGGGAAGGGATTAGTCAGTGAGCAGATGATCGTGCCTTATCCCATTTATTACAAAGTAGTGGCAGGGCCATATATGTTCTGTCTCTGCTTGCCCACCATCAATCCGAGGGAACAACGGTCGTGCCATAGTTTTTAGCCGAGAGCGGCCGAAAGGTTCACGGAAATGGGCAAATGAGATGCAAACCAAAGCTGCTTACCTCGGCAAACCAGAGGTGACGCTCAAGCTGTGTATCTTCCATGGCCTCTTCCGTCCAGTGGCTGGTCTGACTCCGAAAACAGCAAGGCATGCTTCTGCCAACAGCTTCGGCAGAAGAAAATTGGGCACCGGATGTCACACCATGCCCTCTAAACTGACACAAAGTAAACTCAAATCGAATGTGACCTGCACCCGCGTGTGCTGTTTGAGAAGAAAGCTGGTAACGCTGAACAAGACCACGTGTAAATCTCCAGGTTCGTTTCCAGTCGGGGTCTCAACACAGCATATGCATCCGGGTGGCTCATCCACCATTGGCAAAGCGCCTCGGAGGCACAACTCGGCGTTTCATCGCTTGGGTTTCAAATACATTTCAGCCGGCCAGCCCCTGATCAAACAGGGCATGTGATTCCTGTCACAAATCCAACATGCAGCGCTTCCAAAGCAGTGTGCCTAAAATGGCATCTACGCCGAAACCACCAGCCCCTGAAGATTTGGGGCTGGCTAGTGGACACCATGTCAGAGTGCGGTGGGAGACCATGACTTTCTTTATGTCCAACTCCGCCTGTCAGTTGAGTTGAGTTGCTGCTCGATTCGCACATGCAGCTTTGAAGAAGCAACATTGTGCACCGAGCAAAGAAATGTTGAATAGGGGGACAGTTACTTGCTAAACGATTTACGACTTAACCAGTGACAAAAGAAAACACCACTGTTGGTGTTTCCAGTTATTAAAGCAAATCCTACTGAACAGAGGGACAACAAATGCCATTGAACAACTAGTATATTCGGAAGAAACATTAGCATTCGTGACATCGAGTTGCTATTGTCTTAGGCCTAGCTGCAAGGTACTTTTGTTTCACGCCTTCCACAAGAATGCCGGAAAATGAGACATCGCTATTGATTGACTGCTCTACATCCTCAGCACAGGGACTGTGCTTGCTCTCCGACAAAGCTGCATTTGGTGGTTGAGTCGGTCGGCTGTTGAATGTGTGGTATTTGTACTTTTTTTATTTTGTCTCTGATGCGTTTTGCGTGCCATGACCTTAACAAGCACACACGCACAACAACAAATCAATATGCTCCGGACTTGTGGATACGCTTGCCGTGCAACGAAAGCTTTCGTCTCTACAAGGCCTGATGCCCTTAGGTTTCAAACATTGTGGACCTATTCTTTGTGATTTCTCTTTCAACACGTGACACATTTTGGAGCGCACCCCAGGATTGAAAGCACCGCTGCGTCGTGTCTCTCGCGGGCTGAGTCTGCCGCGATTGGGATCTCTTGTCCGCCTCTGAAAAGGAAACAGCCCATCTTCGGTGAGTGCCGTAGCTGTTGGATGTAGGAACAATTACTATCACATATGGCCATGGGTCAAACTCCAAATCGTACGCGCAGTGAACATCCCAATCCAACCACTAAAATAGGTTCTAAAATGGGTGGTGAATGCACCTACCCCAAAATGGGATCCATTGGTTTTGACAACCACATCCATATCAGGAAGTTCTTCTGATAACCAACCTGCCCTCGACATGGTCATGTCGGAACCATAGCGCAGGCAAAGGACAGCCTTGCCAAGACCAAAGGGCACCCAACTCATTTCAATACGTCCACTGACTTGCGGGAATGGCAGAAAAGGCACGCGGTAGGGATACCCGGGGTCTGGAAGGCGAAAACCGAAGCCTA